TTTTAAAATAACTTGAAAGAGTACGTATCATTAAAAAACTTTAGACACATGATACACAGTAAGCTATCTTAATAGATGGACAGAGGAATGGATGGGTGGACAGATGCCTGATAGAGCAAATCTAGCAAAATGTTAATTAAGATTTGTGCCTCTAGGAGGTAATGTATAGGTAATCACTATATAGTTCTTTCATCTTTTAAGTTTGGAATTTTTAATGCAGTGTTGGAGGAAATATATAAATGTACTAAATGAAATAATGTTTAATATTTAAAACTTGGAAAAACTATGTCTCAATAAAACTAGAAAAATATATATATATATCCCTCAAAAAAAAAGATAGTGAAGGATGACAGAGGGCCCTCTGAGCCCTGCCATGGTCAAGTTTACCTGGTGTTCACTCTGGCACATTAGGTGGCAAGACTTAGTCAGACCAAGGCAGCTCATCACTGACATGATGGAGAACTTTGCTTTAAGAGAAAGCAGCCCAGAGAAGATCAGGTGTTGGGTAAACCTGATGTCTCTGTCTCTCCCAACCTCTCAGGACTCTCTTGGGAAGAGGAAGCAGAGACACTCTGGTGGCCCAGAGAGAAATAGGACCAATGGGGGCTGACAATTTGGGCAGATTTTTACTCAGTATTAACTTCCTGGGAGGCAACTTTTGGAGGTAGAAAACTCATGGTCGTGAGGATGTGGGAGCAGCCACTGGGTGGCCAGTGTCGGGCTGACCTTGAATACCTTAAGATGTGAATATCATTTTGTTTCATAGTCTAGGATTCTGTGAATCTAAGACTCCACATTGTTCATTATTATCAGATTCCATTACTAATGATCTTAAGAGTTTTAAAACTCAGTGCCTCAAAAATGCTAAAGTTTTACTAATTCCCTAATTCCAGAACTTGAGAAATTTAGAATTATAAAGCTATCTATGAGATGCAGTCATTTGTGTGGATCTCTTTGAAAGATGTGTTCAGTACATGCTTTTCACCAGGTACTCTTTGGGGGCACTTTACATATATTATCTCATTTAATCCTCACAATGTACCAGTAAGTTAGGAACATTTATTATCCCTGTTTTTCAGATGAGGAAACTGAAGCACGGAGCTTAAGTGACTCACCCAGGACTACAGAAGTAGTATATAGTGGTCCTATAATGAAACCCTAGGGTCCATATTCAGGGCCACTGCCTTTAGGCTGCCTTCCTGTATTATAAAAGGAATACACCCAGAAGGATGGAGGGGCTCTGGCCCAGCCCAGGGCTGAGTTATGGGTCCTCTGCTCAGCTGGACTCCACTGGCCCCTCTGAGTCCCAGCCCTTGGGGCTTCCCTTCCTTTCCCACCCTTCCAGGGAGTGTCCCTTCCACAATCTCAGGTCCTGAATTCCCCAGGCAAAGCCAGCCACATTCTTTGGGCTGGGGTCCAAGTTTATTTAAGAAGAGGAAAATGTTATTATGGAAATTATAACAGCTTTATGAAACAGAGCATCGCTGTATCAATCCAGGACCACAAGAATGCTCATCAACTTAATAGCTTCCTGTTGGAGCCTTTCAAGCTACGACTGAAACTGGCAGGCATCGGGGCATGGGAGTGGGGCCAAGCAACTGGGTGACATCGTATTCCACCCCCTACCCTCGGGATGAGTGGCAGAGTCCCAGCAGGAGACCACAGGGGACCCCTCCCTGCCTGCTCCTGCCTGCATCCCCGAAGGAGACTGCAGCTTGGGCTTCCCATTCTCAAAGGTGGAGCCACAGTGGTGATGGTGGTGGTGGTGATGTGTGTGTCTCCAGGTAGCAAGCAGGGAGGAGAAACCTGGGGCTCCTCCTTCCACCCACCCCATTCCACACCCACAGCCTGACTCAAGTACAAACACAGTTGTGATCCTTAGACCTTCTTCCAGAGCCAATGTGGAGGGTCTGTGGCTAGGTCCCTGGTAAGGACAGGCTTTAAGAAAGGGACTGCTTTCTTTAACTCCTAAGCCCAAGGAGAGAGAAAGCCAGGACTTAACTCTTTTTATCTTTTTTAAAAAAAAGGAAGAAGAAGAAAAGAAAACCATTAAAGTGAAATTCCTGGGGCTGAGAGCAGCCAGGAGTCTGGCACGTGTCTCCTCCTGGGTAATTATCTGGCATTTAGCACCTCTCTTCCCAGCACTTGTAATTAGCAGGGAAATTAAGATGCTGTCATCCTACCTCCCAGCTTCTCTCTTCTCTCTTCTCTCTGCCCAGGGGCCCAGGGAGAGGCCCAGAGGGGGAGGGTATCAGTACACCAAGAGCTGAGACTAAAACTCAGGGAGGACTGAGAGGGGACATTTGACAGGAGACAGGTGGTGGGTCCTCGAGGGAGCACTTCCTGCCGCCTCCAGCCACAGCCATCCCTTTTGTCTGAATTCCTGGCGTGTATGCAAGGGGACTGCACTTTCTCCCATGGGATGCTGTTATGGCTCTAATGAAACGAGTAGGTTCCAGTGGGGTCTCATTGCCTTCACCAAGATTTTCACAGAGGCTCTTTGGTGCCCACCTTGGTGCTGGACCCTGAGATCAGGAATGAATCAAATCCACCCGGAGTTGTAGATGGTCCCCAGGGAAAAGATATGGCATTTGGTTGGGGAGGGGATACAACCATAATACAAGGCTGAAAGTGACAAGAGCTGAGGGAGGCAGGATCAGTTATAGACTTTGGAGGGACTTACTGAAGATGTGAATTACTGAAATTCTAAATAATTTCAGACAGCAACAGCAGAAGATTAAACCAAGCATATGGGCTCCTCTAAGGGACTCCGTGAGCTGCATACTCATGGGCCAGCCCTGGATTGAGGGCAGTATAAGTATTGCCAATTAAGAAAGATATCTTATTTTTTTTCAAACTTTAAACTTTTTATTTTGTATTGGGGTATCGGATTAACAATGTTGTGATAGTTTCAGCTGAACAGTGAAGGGGCTCAGCTATATGTATATGTATATCCGTTCTCCCCCAGACCACCTTCCCATCCAGGCTGGCACATAGCACCGAGTAGAGTTCCATATGGTGTACAGCAGGTCCTTGTCAGTTATCTGTTTTGAATATAGCAGTGTGTATATGACTTGCCCAAACCTCCTAACAATCCCTTTCCCTCTGGTAACCAGAAGTTCATTTTCTAAGTCTGTGAGTCTCTTCTGTTTTGTAAGTTCATTTGTATCATTTATTTTTAGATTCTACATATAAGGAATACATATGGTATATTACTCAGCCATTAAAAAGAATGGAAAATGTCGTTTTTGGCAACAAGGATAGACCTAGAGAGTGTCATACCGAGTGAAGTAAGTCAGACAGAGAAAGGGAAATATCATATGACATCCCTTATACAAGGAAGAATTCTTAAAGGGTGCAGTGTTTGAACTGGTCTGGTTCAAGAAGTCAGCTTTGCTTAACAGAAAAATTACCTTTACTCTATGTGGCCAGTCGTCTCATTCTTCAAGACCTCAGTCGATGCCCCCTCCTCCAGGAAGTCTTCCCTACTAACTCCATGCTGGAATAGGACTCTCTAGGCTCTTGCAGCTCTACTCCACTCTCTCCAAACCTGTGCTTCCCTAGACACCTCACCTATTTCACTCCAGTACAGATGACCAGTTTATACATCTGCCTCTTCAGCTAGCTCATGTGCTCTCTAAAGGCAGGTCTATGCCTTATTCCTCTCTGCATTCTTGGTGGCCCATGGAGGGCCTGGATAAGACAGGTGTTCAAAGGTGAATGAAGAATGAATGAATGAACACCCCCAAAGAGAGCAACTTGAAAGAAAACTTGATTGTGCTTAGAGAACACAAGGATGAATATTTATCCATGGGCCAAAAAGTTAAATTGCGATTTGATCAGAAAGGCCCTAAATGACAAGCCAAGGGAAGGGTTTGAGCTTTTACAGACGGATCTGGCTGCTCTAGAGAAGATGGCTGGGACTGGAAGACAGGGGTGGGAGGGAAGGAACTGTAAGCCAGGCAGAAAGAGCAGTCAGAAAGCTGTAACCATGATCCAAGCCAAAGGTCAGAGTGGCCTGGACCAGATAACAGCCATGGGAATGGAGAGAGGGGAAGAGTTGGATGGGAGCTTTGAAGCCCCAGCCACCCTGGTGGCAGCAACACTGGGTCACCAGCCAGCTATTCCAATTATTCATAGAAATCAATCCCATTCCGTGGAGACTCAGATAAAACTCGTGCACAGTAATGGATGGAGAGCTTAGAGTGAGGAGATAAGAGGAGGCCCCGGGTGTGGGGTGATCAGGTGGGGCTTTGCAGGAGGGGGAGGAATGGTAAGAGGTTATCAAAACAGCCCTCAAATAGCAAAGGCTCAGAGCCGGTCTGCCCAGCTGTGACTGCAGAGGGACACACAGGCTCACCCCAGGCCTGGGAGACCCAGACCTAGTGGTCCTTGGGCATTAGTCCCAGCAGCAGGGGGGACTGATTGAATCTTGCTGCCCTGAGATGATATTGGAGGTCTGATACCTTCTATAAGGAGACTGGGGGCAAGGGGCATGAATGTGGAACAGGCAGGGTACACTCTGGGGCCCCTTTCAGTCCCAGCTTTCTGGGATCCTGAGTCCATGAATCACCACTGTGGCATTTTGTCTGTAGGATCAGGAAAAGCATGGTCTGTTCTCCAGCACAGGGCAGGCGCTGCGGGAGACCAACTAATGGAGCCTACTCACTCTAAGCTGGGCTATAAGGCCTGTGTCCCCATCAGCCTCAGTCCCTCCCGGAATGCTGGAAAGGGATCACCGAAATTCCTTCCCTCTGAGAAGGGAGAGAGAATATGGGCGTGAGAGAGGTTTGTCCCAGGAGGAAAGGGAGACTGAGAAACAGCGGTCTGTCCCAGAGCAGAGAGGGTCCAGGAGGATCAGTGGGTGAGGTAGAGAGAAATGCTAATAATAAACAACCAATACTCACATAGTACCCACCACTGTGCCAGGCATTGTCCTGGGTACTTTGCCTGAATTAGCCAGGGTCAGTCTCACAATCCTCATTTTCTTGAAGAGGAAATCAAGGCTGAGTTGAAGACAAGTTCCCATAAGTTTCCACAGCTGGAGATGCAGAGCTGGACACTCGAACCCAGGAAGTCAGGCTCCCTTCTATCTCTGCTTTGTAATGATCTGTTTGCAAAGAGCTCGCTCTGTTCCCGGCACTGGTGTCACTTGGCCCCCTGGGAGGAGTTATCATCCCCATTTTACAGATGAAGAAGCTAAGGCTCAAAAGAAGTCTGCTTATAAACTCGTTTCCCAGAAGTAGCAGAGCCAGGATGTGACCTCACAGCTCCCTCGAGTCTTGCACTCCCACTCTAGGCCCTGCAGGACAGGGGGTCTGTTCAGTAGACACTAAAGAAGCAAGCGATGGGGCATCTCCAGGGGAGGGCAGAGCCCAAGGGGTCCCCTTCCCACCCTCTTCAGACAGCTTTTCCTCACAGCTGTGGAAGGAGGCAGCCGGAGGTGGGCCCAAGAGTCCCCATCTGCCAACACTCAGGCCTAGCAGGAGATAGCACTTTTTATCTCTGGGGCGAGTTCAAGAGTTTATTCCCCCCCGGGCCAGTGGGAAGCCTGGTGCCCATTCCTGGAGGGTGTCCAGTGACAGGACAGAAGGGGGCACTTGGTCTCTTTCCCTGGTAACACTCATTCCCCTCCACACCCCACCATCATCCAAGGCCAGCAGGAAACATCTCGGAGAGAGCACTTGGGTGCAGGCGCTGGGTCTGGTGGAGCCCAAGGCTGGCTCGGAGCAGTCAGGGGCGGCTGGTGGGAGGGGCAGAGCTCTGGGGTCAGGCACTTAGGGGATATAGGTGTGGTCCTGGCTCCACCACCTTCTCACTGTGCCACATCACACTGGGTGCTTTAAACTCTGAGCTTCCATTTCCTCCCTCGAAAACTGAATTAGCATTTCTATCTAAGAGAGTTCTCCTCAGGGTTAAAATAGCGAAGATATGTATTTCAGCCACCTGGCTCACAGCCTGACCAATAGCTGGGTCCCTAAGATCGCCCCTCCTTTCTCGTTTGCACAACACGAGCTGACTCCAGTCACTGAAGCAAAGTCGGCTCCAGGATCCCAAAGACACAGTGGAAAAGCTCAACCCCCTCCTCAGGATTCCTGGGGCTCCCCTTGCCCTGCAGAGGATGGAACACACTCTCAGGGCATTCAGGGTCCCCAGGGGCCTGCTAGCTACCTGTGTCCAGGCCTCCTTTCCTGCCTCCGGCCCCCAGCTGACTCATTCTCCCTGAACAAAGCAGGCCCTATCTTCGTTCCCCAGCACAGCCTTCAAGGACCGGATCATCAGCGCCTCCTTTCCGAAGCCGCCCCCGGGCCCCTGAGGGAGAATGAATCACTGGCTCCACTCAGCTCCCACAGCTCTGAACTTACTCTGCTTTGTGCTGTGGGTCCAACTCCAAAGATCTGCCCCCCAGCACACTGTGAGCTCCTGCAGGACAGCGCTGGGATCCCTGTCTCCTCGTAAAATGCCTGCCCGCCGTCAGATCTGTGCTCGGAAAATGTTATGCAATCGATTAGATAACTAATGAAAGAGAATGTCCCAGGACAGGAGCATCTCAGAGCTGGAGGAGCCTTTTGTCCCAGGGCCTCATTTTCTAGATGAAGAGGCCTGGACGTGGAGGAGGCTGAGATCTGGGGCAGGAAGGACAGGCCCTGGGCCCCACGGTGAGATAAGAGCGGGGGAGGCATAAGAGCCTGCTCTCCACACCTGATCAAATGCAGGGTGGGCAGTTCCGATTCACAGTTACATAGGTGGCTCTCCACTGACCCTTGAGGAAGTTCAAGTTTGTCATCGTGGCCTTCTAAGTCCCTTTGTGAGGTCATCCCCATCAAGTGCTCACTTCTGCTTATGAGCCTGACTTGCTGCTCTCAGTGCGGGAACACCTGCCCCTCTGCCTGGCCAAAGCCTTTAATCCTTCAGGTATCCGCTTAGACGTCACTTCTACAGAAAAGGCTCCCTTGTCTCCCGTGTCCCTCTTCTTTGGCCCCCTGTGATCCCATCTGTCATACGAGGCTCTGATTGTTTACGTGCCTCTCATCTAGTCAGAGATTGTTCATCTTGCAACCCTCGTGCCCAGCCTGGAAGAAATATATGTGAGTGAATGGATGAATAAATAAAGTGTAAGGACTGGATATTTGGGGGGCTCCCCAGGTGGCTCAGTGGTAAAGAATCTGCCTGCAATGCAGAAGACATGAGTTCAATCCCTGGGTGCAGAAGATGCCCTGGCAAAGGAAATGGCAACCAACTCCAGTATTCTTGCCTGGGAAATCCCATAGACAGAGTCTGGTGGGCCACAGTTCACGGGGTCACAAAAGAGTCGGACACGACTTAGCGACTAAACAACAACATAAGGATTGGAACTCTGGACCACAGGCAGCCATATTACTGATGGCAAGTTAACCCCAGGGCCTTGCGGAGGCCGGGAGTGGGGAAGGCACTGACTTGGGAGGAGATAGAGAGCAGGATGTGCTGTAGGACACCCTGCAGGGGCAGAACTGAGAGTGTTGGCCATGGAGGGAGTCATGTTCCCCAGAACCCAGGGGAAAATACCCAGGATCTGCCTGAACCCTCACTTCTGTTCTGGTGGGTTATTTTGGCCCAGTGACCTTTGTTATTTCAGGCAAATCCTTCAATCACTGGGGAAGCATTTGGAAGGAAGAAAATCTTTGGGAAAAAAAAAATCAGTCTGTCCCATGTCCTGAGTGAGTCCTCAGTGAGACCTGTCCTCTGGCAGGCAAGCAGGGCCTGTTCTAGAAGGCTGGTGGGAAGGGCATCTGGATATTGCTGGATGGAGAAGGGGAGGCCAGGGAAGCATGGCTGTTCAGATAACAGTGAAGACTCTGGGGAGAGGGAGAGCTGAGACTTGGGAGTGAGTGGGGTATCTACAGTAAAAAAGACCTGGAAGGAATGCCAGGCAGAGAACCTCAGGCTTCCCATGAGTCCAGCCCCATCACCACACATTTACTGCACTCCTCCTGCCTAGGCCCCACCTCAGAGAGCTTATAGTCTGGTGAGGGAGAGGAAAAAGCAAGAGATACTCAAGATCGAGTGTGAGAAGGGATGTGGCATGGAGGAACCCAGAGGGGCCTCTACCCCAGCCTCCTGGGGAAGTGGTAATTTAGCTGAAAATTGCACAACAAATGAGACCTGCTTTTATTTTCTTCTCTTCCTTCCATTCTATCTCCCTCTATCATCCTTTGCTTTTTTCCTTCTTCCTTCCTTTGTTTTTTCCCTTTGTTTACTCTTTCTTTGTTTCATTCAATTATTAAATGAGTCATCATGAAAGAACAACTATGGCACACCCACTCCTCTTAGGCAGGGCTACACGAGGTGAAGCGATCAGTTGTGGCCTCTGCCCACAAGAAAGTTACGGTCTGCTGGGGAGACATGTAATAGAAACGGTCACACCATATACACATGCACAAACAAAACATTCCACAAACCATTGTTGTTCAGTAGCTCAGTTGTGTCTGACTCTTTCCTGGTTTTTTCAGTAGTCATGTACGGATGTGAGAGCTGGACCATAGGGAAGGCTGAGCACTGAAGAACTGATGCTTTTGAACTGTGGTGTTGGAGAAGACTATTGAGAGTCCCTTGGAGTGCAAGGCGATCAATCCAGACAATCCTAAAGGAAATCAATCCTGAATACTCATTGGAAGGACTGATGCTGAAGCGGAAACTCCAATACTTTGGCCACCTGGTGCAAAGAGCCAACTCATTGGAAAAGACCCCACAAACCATTAAGAGCTATGAAAAAAAGAAGTATTTAGTGCCATGAGAAAACAGGACTGAGACCTGTGGGAAGAACAGGAGTGTTAAGGCAGAGATTGAAGCAGAGCATCCAGGGGAGGGAGCACACATAAAGGCTAAGAAGTGGAGGTGCATCACATATTCAAGAAAACAAAAAAAGGTAGCGTAGACTGACCAGTCACTGCCTGGGACCCTGCACTTGGAGTTTAGAAGACTGCTGTTTCGCTTACTCCTTCTAAACCTCCAGCAAACCCTCACCATGTGCCTTGCATACCTGGGGTGTGCAGCAGAGGGAATTCTGGGAAATGTAGTTCTGGCATAGCTGACTTGATATGTTACAAATGCAACACAGGCATGCAAGGGCCAGGTCATACTGGGCCCTGTCAACTTTGGATGATATTTTAAGAGAAGTGGGAAGTGATACTTAGTTTTAAGCAGAGGGATGGAGAATGGCATGATCCATTTTATGTTTTAAAAAGTCCCTTGGGGGAATATCTCTGGTGGTCCAGTGGTTGGGACTTCGCCCTCCAATGCAGGGGGTGTGGGTTTGAACACTGGTTAGAGAGCTAGAAGTCTTCCCAGGTGACTCAGTGATAAAAAATCCTTCTGCCAGTGACGGAGACACAGGAGACTCGGGGTCAGTCCCTGGGTTGGGAAGATCCCTGGAGGAGGAAATGGCAACCCACTCCAGGAGCTTGCCTGGAGAATCCCATGGACAGAGAGCCTGTGGGATACAACCCATTGGGTGGCAAAGAGCTGGACACAACTGAGCGACTGAGCACAGCCCAGCACATAGGGAGCTAGGATCTCACATAACTCTCAGCTAAAAAGTCAAAACATAAGGCAGAAGCAATGTTGTACCAAATTCAATAAACACTTTAAAAATGATCCATATTTTTTTTTAAAAATATTTTAAAAACAGGTTCCTTTTGGCTGCTGTGTGAAGATTGGTTTAGAGAACAGCAAGACAGAAGCAGGGATTCCAGACAGAAGATTCCTGAAGGGATCCCAGCAAGAGAACATGGGGGTTTAGATTCGAGGATGGGGGCCTTGTCAGCAGAGTTGGAGAGAAGCAGGTGGAGGTAAGAGAGAGGAAAACTGATGACCAGAGATGACCCGCAGCTAGCAGCAGCATTTACAACACTGGGAGGCATTAGAAGATTCAGGGTTTGGGTGACAGGGGTCTGATGGAAGATCAAGTTAAGGCTTTCAGGTAGACCCTGGAGGCTGAAAATCAGGGTAGCATTCTGACCGTGAGATGTATTTGAGAATAAATAGCACAGAGGTGGTATCCTTGGAGGTGGACCAGGCCCACTGAGGGACAGGGTGCTGAGAGAGGAGAGAGGAACCCTGGCACTACCATGGAATTTTAAGGTAAGATCCAATTTTCATTTTATTTTTTTTTCCATTTATTTTTATTAGTTGGAGGCTAATTACTTTACCTCATTGCAGTGGTTTTTGTCATACATTGAAATGAATTAGCCATCAATTTTCATTTTAGAAAGATCTTTCTGACTGTCATGTAGACAACCATGTGCAGGGTGATGCCAGAGATAAGAAAGACCAGATCTTGGTGACCAGCTGCAACTCAGGTAACTAAAATATCAGGTTTCTCTGCTTTAGGCTATATTGACTAATTGAGGCAAAGTTATACAGGTTCTGATGATCCAAAGCTCTGATTTCCTATTATGTCATGATAGATGGTGGGTGGTAAGACCAATTTCCAAAGCTGCACAAATAAAACCCAAATGATTAGTTCCTTTATTGTTACTGTGTTGGTGGATGTAATCACTGAATGGCTTAAAAGATACAGTGAATTTGGAAAAGTAAAGGATTCAGAATTCAGAGTTCATGGGAATGAAGTTCCTGTTGATTCCACCTCCATAGTCTCACAAATATATCCATTTATCTTCAGTACTGTTTCTACTACAGCAGCCCATCCATCCTCCTACATCTGATTCACTGAACCAGTCTCCCAACTTGTCCCCAGACTCCTCTCCCTCTTGTCCCTCTTCCACACAGCATGGCTGACGTGTCTAATTACACATGCAACCATGTCACTCCAGCCAAAAGCTCTCACTGGCTCCCACTGCAGGATAATGCTTCAGCCTCCTCCACCTCCATGGCTTCAGACCCTGCCTGATCCTGGGCTCTTCCTTACCAGCCCCAGTTCCTTCCCATGTCCGGAACTCCTCTCCCCAACTCCTATTTATTGCTCTACACCAGTCTTTCACGTGAAAGAAACAGTCCCTGCAGGGCTCAGAATGAACCCTGCCCTCTCCCTATGATAGGCTTTTGCAGGCACGGCTCCTTCTCCCCAGAACAGGCCAGTTTCATCCCTACATTCTCTTAATCTAGCAAATTCTTGCTTAGACTTCAGAAATTTTGCCTGACTCTGCCACATCTGGGTACCAGCCCCCTCTGTCCCCCAGCCTTCTGTCAGAGAATGGACTGCCTTGTATCATAATCTTGTCTCTTTCTCCCCAAGTGAGACAGGCTCTTCCTTCCTTCCTTCCTTCTTTCCTTCCCTCCTTCCTTGTCTCTTTCTTCCCTCCTTCCCTCCTTCCTTTCATTGTCTTTCTTTTTCCCAGTTTCCAAAGTCTTTTATTGGCAAGTATTTTAGGAAGGAAAGATAAATCCCACTATTTCCAAATCCATGGAACACAGAGCCATACCCAAGGGCACATTAAGTGGTGTGAAAGAGACCACTGCTTTGCTTCCCTATTATTCACAGATCCAGTCAAAAGCAAAAAACTTGTAGTCACCAATTCTTCAGGCTTAAACCATAGGCTGATTTCTTTTTCAGCACTTTTGACTGCATCACTGCTCTGAATGATGTTCCTTCCGACTTAAATGCAGAAGTCCCCTCATACTGTGCTTGATTTGGATTCCACTGAATTGGTCTCCCCAAGCATCAGTTGCACTGCCTTTGCCACGTTCAGTCCCTCCAGATCATGGCCACAGCTCACCCTGCATTCAAGCACTTCTCCACCTCCAGGAAGAGTGGGTGGTCTTTCAGGTCAATGCTGTGCTGCTTTAGAGGCTCCTCAGGGGACTGAGGGAACTTCCTGGCCACGAG